GGATGTTAGATTGATGCTTGATTTTCCCTCATCGTGCATACATTATATACATATTAAGGATGCTGGGAGGGACGTCAAATTACCTATCATGTTGTGTGTCGGAATCCCCACGAGCAATTCATGCAGGATTCCGCTGAAAGTGAAAACCATAACACTGGCGGCAAAGGGGCTCCATCCCCTGCCCACCAGCGGCGAGAAGATATGTCGCCGCATGAAATGGTACACGGGCTTATTCCACGTGCGCCAATAGGTGCCCACGCTGGGGCTGTTCCACCACTCCGTGTAGAACTCGCGGTCGCCGAAGTGCATTACTTCCGCGAGCGCGTTGAGGAAGGACTGGAACAGGGCAAAGAAGCCTGCAAGCCAGATTATGAGCGATATCGTGGAGAGCTTCATGACTCGCTCGATGATGGAGGTTAGGTCGAGGGTTGCGATCTTTTCTAGGGAGTTGCGGAGGACGGGGGCTGCGTATTGCGCGGAGGTGAGCCAGATGAACACGGAGAGCCCGACCACCTCCATGACGCGCTTGGCCACGAAGGACCATCTGATACGGTCTGTGCGCGGGTATACTGGTTGGTATACTAGGGTTGGCGCCAGCCAGAAATAGGTTAGGTTCTTGATGGTGACGTTTCGGGGATATGGTAGGGAGTTGTAGATTTCTGGGAGCGGGGAAGTGGAAGATGGGTGGAGCGCTGCGTGGCGAAGGTCTCGGTTGGTGAATGCGTAGGAGCATATCTTCAACCAGACGACGATTACATGGACCTCGCAGAGTGTTCCGATGCCAGGGTGATTGACGTAGTAGTAAACTGCGTAACTCGTGACTAGGAGACATAGGCAAGCGTTCAGTGTATGTGCAAGAGCGACATATATCCATGCCGATCGGAACGCCAGCTGCTCCTGAGTATTTTCTTCTTCCGACTCTTTTCGCTTTATGCGGCCAATGGCTCCCTTGACCTGATGGGCTGCGGCGCGCTCAATTATATATGCCACGAAGAGGTGGCAGGGGACAAGTGCGAATAGTATTGCGCCGAGAACGACATCTTGTTTTCGATAGTCATGGCATCGAATACAGATGAGGACACCATACTAGAAAGAGAACAGTTCGCAATTATTAGGACGAAAAGGAAAAGGTCAAAGAATTGGCAATAATTATTATATGGCCAAAATGCAATTGCTGAGAAATGGAATGGCAACACACTTTCATAAAATTCTCGACAATCAACCGCAGATTCATGACAACTAATGGATATCATCAGATCAGCAGCTGAAAATACAAACCGGAACGATCCAATATAATAATATACTTACTCAACACTAGAACCATCAGGTTCCGGAACCCCATAAAGCTGGGGCTGGTCTCCGAATCGCGAGAAAGGCACGATACGCGGGGCCGGGAGTGAAAGGCGGCGACATGGCGATATTTGCTCTTAGCGGCTCGTGGATTGGAATTGGTATGCTGTGCTCTGTTGCCGGACTCATTTCGATTCCCGTCCGCCAGCGGAGGAGCTGCAGTGGTCCCGTTCTTTGCCATCCAGGAGGCGGAGGCTGGCGGATGGACATTGTGGCTCGTAGAAACCGTGGTTTGAGCAACGCTCGCCATGGCACGCTGCTCTAGAGATATAAGCACGGGGAATTGATGAGAGGAGACCCGGAATAAATGTAGATATATATGGATGTTGTGTATGTACACGACGAAGATAGGAACAATTGGCAGCCGAAAGAAACCCGAGAACAAACTGGCAGCCAATTTTAGCCCGTTTCGGAGGTTGGAGAATGGTGATAGAAGCGGTGCCACGACGAGAAGAAACGAGGGATTGCCATTAACAAGCATGAAGGAATTGAAATAAAGGCGCCGGTGTCTTACTGCCACCTGGTCAGTCCTCCTTTTCCACCTTCCCAGCATCGAGCGGGAACCGGGCAGCGAGGGACTACTCCATGACGAGGGGAAAGCGGGACAGGCGAGAGAGTTGGTCTGTTGGTGGTTGGCTCGATCGGGCCCTGGAGGCTTGGCCGCACTAACAGACATCAAACATCGATGCTCAATGCTCAACTTCGCGGAGCTGGGAACAAGAGAGAGCAGCATGGTAGGAGAAGCTGCTGGCAGAACGTTAGGCTATGACTGTATCTGAATCGAATCTAAATATTTAATTGGCCTTAGGAGCGGGCTATTTCTTCCTGCGTACTTCCGGCCAGGTCACTTTTTTTCATTAACCACCTTCAGAGAACCCTCCCCTCTGACCATGATCTGCTCCCTACAGCTGACGACCTGATCACCTTTTCGACTACCCGACCTACCTGAGATACCCCCTGCGCCTCCGATTTTTGCCCGTTTCTGGCATGAGTTCTTACGACCACGATGCTGCGGAGGGGTCATTCCCACGCCCGCTGAGGTCATACGAGGGAGGGGTGGGAGGTCCCCGAAGACCCAGTCAGTATATTATATTTATCAAAATGCGTTCGCCCTCCCAGAAGGAAGAATAATAAATGCTAAGGACCGCAATGAATGATAGGACCTGTGACCGACTATGGCTCGTCAATGGTGCAGTGGATGCGGGTGCGCCAGCCTCGATACAAAGGATCACATAGGTTGGAACGTGAAAGACCAAGCGCCAGCTACACTGTGGATGTCTGTGACTCTACGAGATATATGTATAACATATATATTGGTTTATGTTTATACATATGCTAATAGAGAGTATTTTGATTTTCTTTTAGATGCTCCCTCCCTTGGCCCGAATCGATTCACCTGCTGACACCATCCCCGTTCGTCATCTCCACCAATCAATCGGTAAATCGAAGAAGCCTATTACGGTCGTCAGATGGACGCCGGAGGGACGACGGTTGTTGACAGGAGGTCACACTGGCGAGTTCATGCTATGGAATGGTACAGCATTCAATTTCGAAACGGTTATGGATGTTAGTTATATCCAGATATCCCCTAGCTAACCCACCCGGCCCTTTTTGTCTTGGATGTGTATCATCATGACGCTGACCGGTTCGAAAAAAAAAAAAAAAAAAAAAAAAAAAAAAAAAAGGCTCATTATGATCAATATCAAGCTGGCGTAACGTCCGCTGTGTGGTCCCACAGCCATGACTGGCTAATATCCGGCGGCCAAAAGGGAGACATCAAGTACTGGCGGCCCAACTTCAACAACGTCGAAACCGTCGACGACGCCCACCACGACGCCGTCAGGGATTTGTCGTGGTGTCCAAGCGATACGAAATTCGTCTCTGCCTCTGACGACACGACACTAAAGATCTTCTACTTCACCGCCCGCATGTGCGAGCTGGTGCTGACGGGCCACGGCTGGGATGCAAAGTCGTGCGATTGGCATCCGTCCAAGGGCCTCCTAGTCTCCGGATCCAAGGACCACCAGGTCAAGTTTTGGGACCCCCGCACCGGCCGGTGTTTGACTACCCTCCACAGCCGTAAGAATACAGTCACTTGGACTAGATTCTCGCGTGTGAACAGTAACCTAGTGGCGACATCATCCCGGGACCATTGCGCCCGCGTCTTCGATCTACGGATGATGCGAGACATATGCATTTTACGAGGACATGAGAAGCCGATATCTTCCATGACGTGGCACCCGATTCATAGTTCGCTTATCTCTACGGGAAGTGAAGATGGTTCAATTCATCATTATTTATTGGATGAGCAGAATCTACCTGCTGGGCAGGTCCCCACTGTCGCGCCATACGACAGCGCTGATCCTGCTAATACCCCCGCCCAACTTATATTCCCCGCTCATCGTATTCCCTATGCCCATTCGTCTACTATATGGACCCTCGACTGGCATCCCCTCGGCCACATTCTGGCGTCCGGCTCCAAGGATAATTTTACCCGATTTTGGTCCCGCGCCCGACCCGGCGAAACCAGCTATCTGAAGGATAGATTCCACATTGGCGAAGAAGCCGCAGAAGCCCAGGGAACTTGGAGCCGTGGCTTTGGCCGTCGACAGATGAAGGAAGAAGAGGAGCAGGAACTTCAAGATGAGGCGGAGGGACTTGTTGACCAGAAGAAGCGCGATGCTTCAGTTCTCCTCGGAATCCAGGGTGTTCCCGGGGTTGGGGATAATGTCGGGCTTCCAGGGCTGATACCAGGAATTGGGGCAGTTCAGCCACCCCCGCCACCCCCTTCAGGTACGGTTTCATCCATGTCGCAAGTCGAACCGAGCCGTCTGGCGGCGATGATATCCTCCGGCTCGTTTCCTCCGCCACAACTCGAATCCTTACCACCAAACTTACGTCCGCCGGCATATCCCATGCCTGGTATGCAGGGAGGTGGTTTCGTCCCACATATGGATCTATCATCCTTACAAAACCAGTTCTTTTCTCCACAACAACAGCACCAGCAGCAATCCTACACGTTGCAGCAAAACCAAAACTTTCCTACGCAGGGTGGCGGAGGCTTCACGTCTTCAGGAATCCCCGGTCTTCAGGGCCAAGCCCCAACCGGCGACCCCAATGAGGATTTCACGAATGGAATAAGGAAACGCGGGCCTTTGCCAAGCCAGCAAGATAGCTTGATGGAAGAACAACGACGGGGAAACTGGCGAAATATTAGATAAAGGGAAAACAAGAATATCGTTTTGCCATATATGTTAAACAGGCCTGTAATATAGAACAGGGTTGCGATTTGGTTGATTTATCTTTTTTTTTTTTTTTTTTTTTTTTTTTATTTCTTAGGAAAAGGAGGGCGGGTGTAAGGGGGAATGAGAGGGAAAGTTTTACTTAGGTGAAATATCTGTTTTTATTTCTTATCCCATGACATCGGTTTGCGGTAGCTATCCAGTATACTGTAGAGAAGAATGCGTATAGCGTTGGATCCGATTATTGGTATTGCGCTGTTTCCTATTTCTAGGCTGAACTACCACTGATACTGTAGCTACGGTAGTGGTATTACCCAGCCCTTTCTCTCGAAACTTTTGTGGATGTCGGGCTGGTTGTTTCCCTCCGTTTTCAGCTGTATGTCGTCGATAAAGTGAACAAGAATGCTTGTCAACGACGCGCCGTGAGTTGCCTATAGTCCTCCCTGGATCGAAAAGCTCGAGAGAATCAAGACCAATGTATTAAGCGCCGCCCACGAAAAAGGAATCCAAGTGGCACATTTTATAGTTGC